TCTGACCTGTGGTCCTGGTCTACTCTTTGTGTTGCTGTGCTGCTAAATTGAAAGTGTTTTGATAATGATCAATCTTTTCTCAGAAATAAACTTGTAAAAGATGATTCTTTTACCGTCTATATATATTTTCATTAAGAATGCTAAGGAGTCTGTGTTCTATCTATCTACACCATGTAGGCCTATAATATGATGAATGTTGTTCAAAGCCTAAACATGACATACATAATAATCTGCTGTTTTCATAATTAATGCCCCTAAAGGGGCTTTGAATTTTCAAACCTCTACCTGTAAACACACCTGCCTTTGACTTGACGTGTCCTTCCGCCTCGCCGAAGGGTCTATGTTTTGTTTTCTCTGTTTAGTGGCGGATGAATCCATTATCCAACCTGGACGACGAGCAGCAGAAACACCGTAAATCACAACCGCTTTTCCACAATGTTGTTCCACCAAAGGATAAAACTTTGGTACAGGTAAGCGAGATAAACAAAATGTGTTGTTACAGTTAGCTTTAAGTATATGGATGTGTTTCATTTTAGGACCTGTATTCTTTTATTGAAGGATTACGTTACAGGTGATGCTCTCCATCACCTGCTGGGGCGTGTTAACCTCCAAATGAGAACTACAGTAAGGTAGCTAACGTCTCTATTTATCTTCTAAATGACAGCATACGGTATTTATTTGTTATATCTCCAGGTTTTGACGAATGTAATGGAAAGCGAAACACAAACTACTGAGAGAGAGACACCACCGCAGCACTGGAGAAGTTGCAAACTGATTATTGACCCTGCGCTGACAAAAGGACTGTACAAAGTGTACCGTTATGATGGGCAATATTTTAACATACCCGTGAGCATTTTTAATATCTATTGTATGTCTTTTATAAATAATGGCGTGTCAGTAACCTATATTTTTAGCTATAATATTTCGCCGAACAAGCATACTGTAGTCTGTGCGTTTTTCTTGGTAATAATGGGTGTTGTTTACCTGAACAGGTTGAGGACTTAGGTCTGTTTCCTGTGGTTACACTCAGAGATCCGCGCATCTGCCGCCTGTGGAGCAAATGCAACAAGACTGACCTTGTAGTGCCTAAATTTAAGGTAATCTGTAAAGGCCTTTAATAATCATATTAACAAATTTGATAATGATAATAATAATAATAGTGGTCGATGTTGTTTACCTGCGTCCTTTCAGGTGGATGAATGGTATGTTGATCCTGTGCCTCCCAAGGAAGTGACATTTTCCAGGCTGAATGACAATGTAAGGGAGGCATTCTTGACTAATATGTGCAAAGAGTATGGGAACACTGAAGAACTAAAAATATTTTACAACCCTAAGAACAAGAAGCATTTAGGGATTGCGAAGGTCATCTTTGACACAGTAAAGTCTGCTAAAGACGCTGTTCAGCACCTCCATCAGACATCAGTGATGGGGAATATTATCCATGTGGAAATTGATCCTAAAGGTAACACTGGCTTTAGGAATGCTTCACATTTTTATATACATAAAATATAAATGTTAATCTTTTTGAGGTTGTTGATTAATTGTAATGTGCAACTACCTGCAGGTGAAAACAGGGCTCGATATCTCCAGCTCCTCTTACGTGGCCTTTATACTCCATGGACTTTGCCAGTGGGCAGCAGTGACCAAGCGCTTCAAAGCTTAGTTGACAGTCTTCTGGTAAAGCTTTTAATGATTTCAATTTCAATGTTTAAACATTGATGTCAGTGTATATATAATATTTATAAAACAGGCATTTAAATTAATGTGTTTTCAGGATAATATTTCTTTTTTGTATTATCCATATTTTACAGGACAGTGCAGCCACACAGAGACAGGGCAGTGTCTCTAGTCCCACTAGCATTGCTACACCCCTCTCTCTGGACACAGCCTACTCCAGTATTTGGCAGGATACGCCTTGCAGCTTTGGGCTTACACCACATTCTCAGGGAACCCCCCGAACTCCTTGCTTGTCTGCAACTCCTCTCTCCCAGGACTCTTGCTACTCCAGTCTTCAGGCGACTCCAGTCCTCCAGGGGGAGCCCTACAGTGTTCTCAAACCTTTAAGACGAGAGCTCTGTCGCCGTAATCCTGCCAGGTATCACAGGAGATTTGGTGACACTTCAGACGCCAGCTTACTTTTGAAGCATTGCCAGCCACAGCCACCACACCCTGTCTCTAGCCAAATACCAGCTAGCAGCCACCAGACTGCTGGGGGTCATAATGCACAATCATCTACTCACAGCAATACAGAACCTTCTTTTCACCTCACCTCCCCCTGTCAGGAGTCCAGAGACACGGCCACCGCTACCTTTAAGGCTTTACCTCTGAACTGCAACTCTTTTAGCATCCTGAGCGTTAATTTCACAGCTGATGAGCAGACAGCAGCATCTTCCCCACCTGATGACCCAGCATGCATTACAGACTTATCTCCATCTTTTATTAACTGTCCCTCCAGCAGCCCACAGCCACAGGTGGAGAGCCTTGACTCCCGCATTGAAAGTTTACTGATAAACAGTCAGAGTACTGACCCCTCATACTTTGATGGAAAAATTCTGGAAGCTGATGTTCACTCTCAAAATAGCCCAACTTCACCTTGCTCAGCTAATAGATCCCCTTTCTCAGATGACTCAATAGTTGGCACGCCAGCTTCTTGTGGATCCTTCACAACCAGCCACCAGTGCTACTACAATGATCTGGTGGATGCCAGTCCAACAGTGCTCACTGAAAATGAAGGGGATGAAACTGCTCAAGCTGTTTCTTTTCTCACAAGAAATTCCCAGTCTCCCACTCTATCTGACTCCTCACAGTTTGAAAGAAGGGCTCACGTAAAAAACAAAAAAGATGCAGAAAGGTTTCAGTCATTATCATCTTCAAAGGTAATACTTTTAGATCTCTACATGCATTATAATAACAATAAAAGTAGTAACTATTGTGTTGTTATTTATGTAATAGTATTTATGTTGTACTGTAAAAAAGCCATTCAGATCTTTTTTGTCTTACTCAGGAGCTTCATGCAACAAATGAGGATACGGAGCACTCAAACAACAGACACTCTGGCACTTTGACACCGATACAGGAGTTCATCTCTCCTCCTCAGCCTCCCTCGTTTTCTTCTCTCAATGGCACCACTCAGCATCTTACCGCCAAAGTGCCTCCTGCCATTACAGTTGGACACCCCCCTCCACCAATCAATACTTTCCCTTTTGCTGTTCCTCCCTTTCCCCCATCTGTTCCACCTGTCCCACCTCGCCTGCCAAACGGCACCATCCCCATCCCGCCTCCAGGCTGGATCCCCCTTCCAGGTCATCCCCACACTGGCATCCCCATTCCTCCTCCCCCAATTCCGCCTCCTCCTTCTATTCCTCCCCCAGCAACTTTTCTAGTACCCCCACCACCCTTGATAGTGCCTCCTTCTCTTCCACCTTCTGTGCACACATACCCTTTGTGCATGCAACCTGCAAGCCACTTGGATAAGGGGCATAACAGTGCACCTTTCCCTCGACCACCCTGGCCTGCTCCACATTTTCCCAGGTTTAACCCCTTTGTGCCACCTCCAGACTTCTCACTTGTGCAAGAAAACCCTCATAAGGTCACAATAGAGAAGGTTTTAGAAGTCCTCATGGAAGAAATGAGGTCAATCATTAAGAAGGACATTACACGTAGAATGATTGAAGGGGTCGCTTTCAAGGCATTTGAGGACTGGTGGGACTGTCAAGAGAAGAAAACAAAGGTAGGTTCCTTATGTCCTTTATTATCTCATAAAGTGGTCAATGAAATCATGTGAATGAGGATTTTTATTTTTTCACATTTAATGGCAATGCACTAGTGTGATACTAAGTTCATTATTATTGTTATTTTATTGATTAGATACAAGTTTCTCCCTTGAAATGTGGAGCGAGAAGTGTGCAAGAGAGGAAGAAGCTAATAAATCCCCTCAATCACATCACTGGCCAGACCAAAAAACCTCCACTGCCATCCTTCAAGGTAAATTATTTTGCTGACTGTAATATGAAAAACACCAACATTTGACATCAGCATGACACATAACTGAATGCAAAGTAAAATAAGTTGCTGTTATGCAGGTGAAACGGAAGAAAGCGGATGTTCCTGGTACATCGGAAGA